CCTAGGGCTTTGCGATCTAGAACATCCCACTTTGCTTGCTCCATATCCGTTGGCTTCGTGCCATCAATAGGTTGATACAGATCCTCCATCTAGATCTTCTAGAATGCGTAGTTCGTGCCATTGAATTTCTCGATCTTGACTTTGTCTTCATCTATTGTGTAAACCCTTGACCTCTTAATCCGGAGCTTTGATACCAGTTGTTAGGGAATTTGCACGAAATAGAGAAAATACAGGCCAAAAAAAAAAATCACACACAAGATAGTATTTACGTAGTTCGACAATTTGCCTACGTCCACGAAACTACATAAAATTCACTATTGAGAAAGAAGAATACAAAGGGCGGCTGTACAATACAAATCAAATTCTAATCACCAAAATAACAGGTTTTATATGTCCTGTGCACCAGGCTACAAAACAGGCCCAAAATTTTTCATTAAAAACTATACAACATTATTTTGGGTCAGATCATCATTCAAATCAATGCAAAACTAGACTCCACAAAAAACCTAACAGTAAATCTACTTTTTGCCTCTTATAGTACCTTACAACTTGGATGTCAAATAGTGTCGTCAATGTAATTTATCTCTTAATCTGAAATTGTATGAATCTTCAAAAAATTAGATGATTTTTGGTGTTGCCATCATCTACAATAAGTGGATTAGATGATTAAAGATGTCAGGTTACTCTCAGGTCATGACTTGATTAATTAAACATATTAGAATAGAGTTGATTTATCTTCAACATGACTTGAACACAGCACGACACAAGTTGATTGATACCATAGCTTTTGATTACTAAAAAGAAACAAACATAATATAGCATCAACAATTTTTTCTTCAAACACTTTCTTGCCTGGTACACTGTAAACCAACTCTTGGCTTCTTGAGGTGATTTCTCACTACAATGGTTACAAGTGGTATTAAGATTGGCATCACAACGGAAAGTATAGTAAAAAGGAAGGACATCCCAGTGTTGGGTGTCATTGCAGTCATGGAAGTATCATAAGTTACTGTAAGTGCAAGAAGTGACACTTTCAGTTCCAATTGCATTGGGAATCCTGCTGTGAGAAAATATAGCATGTGAAGAGACATGAAAAATCCCATTGAGTTTGAAACTAGGAACAAACAGTATGCGACTGAATTGTGGGAGGCCATCACTGATTTCCCAGCAGTATGTGGTGTGGTGCCATTGTTGTCATCCTGCCATACACCTCCTGGAGGACTAAGCACAGCTTGATACGTTGCAGTCGCGATGAGTATGACTATCACGAGCAGGGTGTTTCGGGTTTTGCTTGGTGACTCTTTAATCTTATCGTATTTGAAGTAATCGATCAATTGTCTAGCTGGAGATTGTGCTTGCTCTGTTCTTGATTGTTGATTTGACGAGTTATGAGGTGTTACAACCCAATTTTGAGACACTACTGCCTGTGCCAGGGAGCGCAAATCTTCAGATCTTCTGGCTGTGGCTTGCCTAAGAATTTCCTCGATTTCTCTATCACCCTCTTCCAATAATAGAACATCAAGAGGCGTGAGACCACTATTGTTCAAGGAATTCACCTCCACCGTGCCTCTGCTAACAACTTGTTCATTGAGAACCATATCAAACACCTGTAGGAATTTTTATTTCTGGTGAGAAAACAAACCAAATAGATCCCTAGAAGACACGCACAAGGGGGTAATACTTGCCTCGTATTGTTTTGTCAAGGCTGCAAGGTGCAAGATGGTGTTGCCTTGATTGTCTTTATGATTTATGATGTCCTCCACGTTGATTTGCTTTAGGTGTTCGACAAAAACCTCAAAGACTTCAAATTTGTTGTTCTTCACTGCAAGGTGAAGAGAATTCTCGCCTCGAGCTGTCACGGCTGCAATACTTTCTGCAGCAGCAGAAAGCAGTTCTTTTATGACTTCAACTCTACCTTTGATTGCTGCATAGTGAAGAGGAATTCTCCTCTCTCTTCCCTTGAGTAGGCACAGATTATGATCTAATCTCAAAAGTTCCCTGACAATCTCTAGATCTCCATTAGCCGAGGCAATATGCAAGGGGCTAAGACCATCTTGGTTCAGTTCTGTAGCGAATTCTTGCCTCAAATTTATGATCTCTTTGGCAAAATCAAGGTGACCAGCCATGGAAGCAAGGTGTAATGGAGTCTCTCCACCTGCCAATGCAACAGTCCTGAGCACAAGGGGATGCTCTTTAACCAAGCAAAGCAAGTAATCAATATCTCCTCTCTGAGCAGCCTCAATTAGCCTTCTATCCATGTTTTTAGAGAACCTTGCAACCTTTGAATTAATAGACCTTTTGGATGTTGAAATCAAAACAAGAATCAAGTATGCAGTAATAACAGGAACTCACCCAAAAGGATGGTCAACGAGATGCCTAGATCTCCCTGCAAACTTTCGATGGAAAACTCAACACGAGCCAAACTGGAATGTTACAGCATATATTTGTTCACGGAGCATCGGTTGGATGTTCAAGAAGCAGCGGTTGGGAAGATGTTGATGATGATGATTGCCAGATGCCAAGAACCTACAGGGTCAAATTTTTGCTACAATATAAAGACATATTCTTGTGTTGGACTTGACTAACGTTTTGAAAAAATAATTTTTCTATACCTTAATTTCGATATCATACCTCTGACTTTTATTATTTTAATGAGTGTTTTTATAATTTTTGTGGGTCATTTTACAATGAAAAAATTTGTTACTTTTTACTATCAAAGAGTGATAAAAAAAATTTGTAAATATTTTACCACTTTTGTAAGTGTTTTTACCACATTTTGTGATAAATTTTTATCACTTTTCTTTGGTACAAATTTTTTTTATTATATTTGTAAATATTTTTACTATTGTTGTGATAATAATTTTTTTATTTTTTTAGATACTACAAGAATGATAAAAAGATTCACAAATATAATAAAAATAATCATAAATATGATAAATAGAAGTATAGTAGCCAAAATTTACGATAATTTTCGATATCATAGTCAAATTTTTTTTTGTAGGTGGGACTTGGGTTGGGAGTCAATGATACAATTCTCAGTCTATATAATTATGTAAACCATACAGTGTGAACTGGGATAAGACCTTAGTTAGCTTAGTTTAGGCTGCTTTGACCTAGTCGACACACGGATACTCCTTTGACCAAGTCCTTTCCCCACGCCCCTCGCTCTAGTAATTCCCCGCTGCACTTTTGGTTTTGTTTTTTTGAATTTTTTGCTAGTTTGTAATGACATCATGTGTACATTGTATTTATTCTCGCCGATTGTATTTAGGAGTGTTCAAATTTCTGTCTACTCAAATTATTCCAACCTTATCCGACTCTCGACTATTTGATGTTTGCAAATTTTCAGCTGGCTTAGAGAATAAATCGTAATATTTTGTAAATGATTGGATAAAAATGCGGAATAACCATAAAACTTCCGCATTTTTACCCGACCTTCATGTATATTTAAATTTAATATATATATATATATATATATATATATATATATATATATATATATTTGTGTTAGTTGGTTTATTGTTCTCTTTAATGTTATTGATTTATTGTATTAGTTTACATATTATTATATTATATTTTAACAGCCTAATTATAAAAATAGCCCCAAAATCACTTAATTGATTTGTTAAGATAATTCAAAAATTAATAACTAAAAAATTACAAATATGTGATATATTCTGCAACTCTACCCGAATTCCAACCCGATTTTTTTGGATGAAATTCGAACGAAATATTATCCTCCATCAGGAAGGTTCGGTCAAGAATTTTGCTTTCTACAACGCATTAACTCAGAAGATGAAATATAATATTTCCTACCTATCGACTCGGGTGAACATCCCTAATTGTATTATGCTCTTTTGGTAATAAAATCATAGTTGCTAAAAATAAAATTTTAACATTGACATATGTCATGGAGTCATGATTTGAACAATTCTTCCTTATTAAATCTTGCATAGGATTCTAAATTCATACCGGGAGCCATGTGCAAGCCTAGATACAAAGGCCCTTATTAGTTACTAAGGATCATAAAATTACAATTGGGCAAATGACATGAAACTCCTCTAAAATGGCAGCCTAGGAAACTCCTCTTTGCACGATCTGGGGCAATAAGATATGTGTAATCTTATCGAGAGATTGTTTTCACGACTCGAATCCATGACGTCCTGGTGCCAACGCTGGCGCTCCTAGTTCTGTTGTCAAGACAATCATCATGGGGTGTTGCTGGTTACTGGAAGTTTGTCTCCACGCTTCCAACATTTTCTTGCCCATCTTAGCAGCCTCCGATGAAGAAATGTTATAAAGAAGGCACCTCCCACAGTGGCAATCAGGTAGCCTCCTCTTCCGATACTGACAATTGCAAATCCATAGGCAAACATAAAAGAAACCATAGAAATTAGGAGCTCCCTTTGAAAAGGAAATCCAACAGTGAGATATGTTATTATGCTGAGTGCTGCAGTAAGCCCCAAGGTGTTTGCAAACACAAAGAAAAATGTAACCCAACCACCGGTCAAAACAGCAGTACTTGATCGCAGGATGCCATTTGGAGGGTTCACGCCCGCTTGAAAGGTGACGGTGGCAATCAGTGCAGCCACTACTAGAAGTGCATTACGAGCGTCACTTGGTGAATCTCTTTCCTTTTCGAACTTTAAGAATTTGAACCAATCCTTGGAGGGTTTTGATTGAATATCATTATGGGCTTGTTCAGGTTCTGCAGCCTGTTGTGTTATGGAGACAGGATTAACATGTTGAGCACCATGTGCACTTGCTCGTTGAAGGATTTCTTTCAGGTAGAGATCTTTGGGACTTTCCATGACCATATCCAGCAGATCCATTGCTGTCAAACCCCTCGAATTCATCACATTCACTTCCAGTATCCCACTGATAGTATTGTTGCTATTAAGCAGTAGTTTTATGGTCTGCAATAGAGAAATAGATGCAACATGTTACCCTGCAGGCACATATTATTGCCATTCCATGAAATAACAACCAAGACGTCCTCAGAAAAATACAGTCTGTCAATATTATTCTGCAGGCACAGCTTTTTGTGAGAAGTATTGAGACTCAAAAAACTAGTGATAATAGAATATAAGTTAACATTAGTTGAAATTGGAGATCCTTTCAGCATTAATTTTAAATTCATTTGAGGGAAATCATTTCCTTTCCAATAAAAATCATGGTAAACGTCACAGTGATCGATCACTTATGTAGTCTTTTCCATACAAACTTCTTAACATATCATGGCCCATAATTTTAGAAGCACAAATACAAAGAAAAGAATATTTTTTGAGTAAAGTAAAATAAGCCAAAAATCCACAGAAAAGGTAACTAGTATGTAACCAGAAGAGAGGAAGAAATCCTGCCTTTCAGATTTCAGCTTGCCAGGCCTCATAATTGTAAAAAATCAACAAAGCATAAAAGGAAGATTGGAAAGGGAATCAAGGAAGGTTGACTGATTCGAACTTACATCTACTTGCTTTCTGAAGGCTGCAAGGATTAAAACTGTGTTTCCATTGAAATCCACCCAGTTTATGATGGTCTCCATATGTAGCCTTTCAAGCCACTTAACCAAAACTTGAAAGGCATCAAATTGGCTGGTTTCCACTGCAAGATGAAGGGCAGTCTCCTCGTGGATCGTGACATATTGAATCAACTCCGGGCAAGTGGAGAGCAATTCATCTATCACTTCAATTCTTCCCTTCATAGCAGCATAGTGAAGAGCTGTTCTTTGGTCTTTGCCTTTCAGAAGACAAATTTCATGATCATTTCTTGCAAGTTCCTTCACCAACTCCACATCCCCCATCATCGAAGCTATGTCCAGAGGCCGGAATCCATCTTGACTCAATTCTTTGACTTGCTCATGATCATTTTTTATAAGCTCGTGTACAAAATCAAGCTGCCCAGCTTTGGTTGCAATGTGTAGAAGAGACTCTCTTGGAGATGTTATTGCAACATCAGTAAGAATAAGTGGATTTTCATCAAGCAATTTGTTGAGAACCTCAACATTTCCTAGACAAGCAGCTTCAAACAGTTGTTTACTGTCCATTTTTTGGCCTTTTAGTTTCTCAAAGGAGCTTAGACCTGACAATAAATCATTTGACTCCTTTATAATGATTCCTAACTATCCTTCATTGGGTGATTAATTCTCCAGTTATCCTTGTTTTTGCCATTTTACTTTAATTTTCCTTATCTTAACATTGATCAAAGTTTCTTATTTGTCTTTTAGTCGTTATCACTTTTTGCCTCCATCAAGTTTTTTAAAGTAGTCTCCCCTATCTTAAAGTTTCATATTTATATTTATTAGTTTTTGGCCTGCATCATTGAGTTGTCACCCTCCATCAAGTTTTTTAAAGTAGTCTCCCCTATCTTAAAGTTTCATATTTATATTTATTAGTTTTTGGCCTGCATCATTGAGTTGTCACCCTCCATCAAGTTTTTTAAAGTAGTCTCCCCTATCTTAAAGTTTCATATTTATATTTATTAGTTTTTGGCCTGCATCATTGAGTTGTCACCCTCCATCAAGTTTTTTAAAGTAGTCTCCCCTATCTTAAAGTTTCATATTTATATTTATTAGTTTTTGGCCTGCATCATTGAGTTGTCACCCTCCATCAAGTTTTTTAAAGTAGTCTCCCCTATCTTAAAGTTTCATATTTATATTTATTAGTTTTTGGCCTGCATCATTGAGTTGTCACCGTAAATGTCACGACACACAAGTAGGAACTTCAACAAAACAAGTCGCCTTTTCTTATTTCTAACACACACAAAATAAGTCTCATTGGCTACATGGAGAAAAGCTCGAGGTTTTTCCTCAATCACTGTATAGTATATCCATAGTATTTTACCTACTGTGTGAATGGGGGAGCTGGTCTTATTTGAGTTTATAATAAGTGATCTACTAATGAAGAAAATTAAGAGAACATGTACAAAAATAGATCTGACAAGAATAGAGGAACCCCAAAACTTCTTCATATCTCATAGCCAATGATATGAGATTCATGAGAAGCTTATGTGCTTTCTTGTCAGTGCATGCATGGCAGGAAGTGAAATTTTTTATGACATACCTTCATTTCCACATATGTTAGTCTTTCATTCCACCATTTCCTTTTGGAAGCAAGAACGAGTGTCCTGAAGTTCAAACTTCGCTATATGTTGAACCCTGATGACCAGAAATTCATTGAGCGACAGAGAAGAAAGACAGCCAAAACATTTGCTGATAGTGAAGGGGATATTATGCTTATTGGTGTGAACCTGCGATGGTCCCCGGCTCCATGAAGATAAAGTTTTGATGCTGAGCGTTGTGAGCTAGTGATGTTGAATGCTGAGCCTGTCTCATAAATGATGGCTCAGTATTGTAAGTAACTGCACAGATTAATCCACAGGAGATCGAATTCAGATTGAGGTCAAGTCAGTGAAGGAGGGTAAAAAATAATCTTAACTAATACATACTCTGTTGTAGCTGGCAGGTCTTCTAACAGTTTGAAATTCAGATAGTTGAGTCTTTGG